ATGCTACCGTGTTCTATTCTTATAGTATGACTCTGGTATGATGTAGTCAGATAGTTCGCCTTGTTGAAAGTGGAAAGAAGCAACAATGAGTAAAAGTCTAGTGATAATATGCTCTACCCTCATTTGTTTTAGGCGTGTTATTATCAAGTAAAAATCGTGAACTAGAAAAAAAAACACTTATGTGAAATACCTTACAAGTTTAAAAAACAACTATTCGATCAATATCAACTATGAAATGTAAGCTGTTGTCAAATTCCATTTTGTTTTCTTGAATAACAGGTGACTGGAAGGAGAGAAAAAATTCTTTTTATCAAATGACAGGTGATGTGAAACAAGTTTGCCTACGTAGACAAAACGTAAATGCCACGAAGGCGAGGGATCAATTATTATTATTACTATTATTATTATTAATGATATCTTTAGATATAATCTTTCGAATTATCGACAGTTGAGTGCAAAACAAATATTCCCTTTTTTTTACTTAAGCTTAATCTTTTGTTTATTAAACAAGGCGGGAAATATAAGGCGGTTAAAGGGGAGGATTATTAATATCTGCAGATTTTCGTTAAATTGTTTATACCCTTATTGATTTCATAAGTGAAATAAGTAAACCTCTTAAGTGTTTAATTACATAAAATCAATTATCGGCGGGCATTATATTCATTTGATTTTTTCCAATATTATTAAACACATAAATAAAAATTTAACGAGTTAATTAACTGACAGGTGGAGGTAGTAGTTCAAGTATTATCCTATAAGGAATTGACGAGTGAACATAATTATTTCAATGCAATGCCTACTGAATCTAATAAACTTGAATTTCTAGCTTAAGTCAACAGCTTTTTTTCAAGACAAAAGATATACCCCTTCTGTTTTAAACAATACACAAGTCTATCGTGTTGTTTTTATCGACAAAACTGTTAATTAAGTAATGAATTCGAAACTACAACCTAACTAGTAATCAATAATTTATTGTGCCAGACTGTAGTCATATTTTAATTAAAGTTGTTGTTTTTTTCCTTCAGATTACCATTTATCGAATGAAAGCATGTTTTCAGCGCTTACAACTTCACCTTAACAATTGTAGAATGTAAAGCGTAGCAGTTTATTTGTTTGTTTAAGTTAACATGTTCATTGGTTTCAATATAACATAGTTTTTATTTCACGGGATTTACAGGGATTCTATTCCAAGACATTTTATTACTTGAATGTAATATCTGTGGGGATTGGATTGATAAGTTTAAGGAAAAAATAACTGAGGAAAACAACCAGTGAACTTCGCAACAGGAAGAATATAAGGTATAGGCGAGGTGATTTAATGCATAGCCGTTCAATATTCAAATGGAGACAGAGAGAGTGAATACTCCTGTACCACTGTGATATATTTCTAACTTGATCAATAATTACTATTTTATCGTTTGGATGACTTTCTTCTCCTACATGATCTGGATTAATAATCAATAGCTGTTGAGAAAGGTGTAATTTTTATGAAGTAGGAGTCAGTGCGGAAATCTATTTCAACACTTATATCACTTTCATCAGAGACTTGATGCGGCACCAATAGCATTTCTAACAGCCTGCTTCAGACTTTCATCAACAGCTGTCTTCTCTCTATACTGGAGGTCAGATAGTCAGAAAGGAGCAACAGCAGCAAGGAACTCCGGTAACTAACTGAACAAGAACCTACTGTACAACAAATATTCGAAGAGAATGGAGTTGGATTAAGTCATCGAATGGTATTACTCACAAGACTCTCGAACGAAACCGGAATAGGAAACGATAAGTAGGACATGGAAGTTATGTGGAGAGGAAATGAAAGCCTATGCGCTATCATGAAGCTATCTGAGAGACTTTAGAGAACAGAATTAAGTAGCAATGTTCTGGTGAATCTCGAGATTCCATTCGAAACCCAAGGGAATAACAATAATAACAGCGGTCAGTTGGTAACCAGTGTATTTCGATAGTTGTAAACAATGTGTTAATCAAAATCTTTCTGTCAGTTATACAGGTGATCACAAATTCAAGTGATCCATCATTTCTGCATACTTAGGTACTTCTTTTTGTTTTCAAATTAAAAGGAGTCATTGGAAAAGAAACCTTACTTGAGATACTTGTGTGTATGTGTTTTCGGTATGCATCAGCATGATGTGCTTGTAATCTTGAGGAAATTATTATTATTCCCACTGAGATTCTGATTTACACCAAAAACAGTAACTATGTTTCATGTTTTTGTCTTACAATCCAACTATTTCACCATATATCATGCTGAAAAGACGAGTGATTTTTAAGACAACAATATAGACCATACTTTATGTAGTTAAAAATGTTCACGCTTAATAACAGGGAGGTAAAAGTGAAATAACATTTTAAGTGAAATAACAAATCTGATTTCACCATTTTAAATTATTCTTTATGATTCATAATTTTTGTATGCTTCAAACACTTTTAAAGCTGCTTTAATACTGTTAAGATGACTACTGAGGTCACTTGAAAAATAGCTCTGAAAGCTGATGTGCGTATACAATCATTTCACTTAACCAGAGTTTGTTTCAGTGTTTATCCCAGTGACTGAAAATCAAACATACATCCAGTAAGGTTGCTGCCATTTAAGAGTTGTTGTCTTATCATGTCATCTACTTTCATGGTCATAGCCCCCAGTGAAAGCCATAAACAAACAACAGCAGAGCATAACCCTTCCCATACACAACTTAAGCTGTTCGGGTTCAAATGTCTTATAAGCCATAATTTAGGAGTAATTCTTAAAAGTCACACTGGAGCAAAATGTAATGTATGAGAGTGGAAAACAAGAACTTCTACAGATAATTCAAAACTCTACTTTCATAACACCCGTGTTTTAACAGTATTTTAGTATTCCATTACATAATAAAGTTTGTTTTTACGAGTTTGAACACGGATTGATATTAGTTAGAGAACCATTGAAAACGACGATGTACTGGACAGCTGTTTCATCCTAGTTTGGGAATCATCGGCAGTACGCACCCACTGGGGTTCGGACCCAGGACCTTTCGGTTACAAGGCAAGCTCGTATACCATTCAGCCAATGGGACCCGATTCAGTGGCCAGCCCATGAATTCTAAGTTCTACCAATTCATGATTTAGCGCGACCACCAACCAATGTCATCGGCGGGACATCCATCCTCACACTTGATTGGATGGACCTCACTGGTCAGACTTCTCACTAGAACTCCAAGAAACTCCGTCCTGTAAAAACAAATCTAATCCTTACAAACCAAATCTTGATAATAAAATCTGGCTGACAATATTCTGAATATTGTTAAGTTATTCAAATAAATAAGGCCTTATTTGAACTATAATTCAGGTAAAATCATCCCAAATGTACTTAACCTATCTGAAATCATACTGGATACCTTTATCCACAAACTTCATACCTAAGTATGTGCAAATCTTCTATCTAAGTACAGTAAACTGTTTCTCAACTATGTTTATTTACAAGATATTCTGTATTTATCAGTAATCACATTAGTTTATACATTCAATACCATTCTGAATGTGTATACCACCACTCGCTATTTAAAGCCAATAAAATGACATCCATGTTCATTGAACGAAAACAAAACTAAATTGAACACTAATGTGAAGCTGAACATTCAGTTCATACCTCCAAACTGTCAAACTCATTGCAGAAATGCAAGCCAAATACTTAGTCTGTATGTGATCAAAAGATAACCCAAAAGAAGGTACTTCACAGATAATACGTAAACAGATGAAATGTATGGAAAGAATTAACAGATCAGTGCATAAGGTGGTGTTAAAGTCCTTAGTTCACATTACTAAAACACTCATTACAGTTAAAAGATGAGGTCTAAGTATGGTTGGTTTTAGATTCTTAGATTTTGGCAATAAGACATATGGGTTACAGTTCCAGAGAAGAAAAAAGAGTTTTCTTAGGATTGCAGATACCCTTTGCAGGCAAATATTAACAAGAAAAGAAATTAGGTTGAACATAGTTTCATATCTGTTTTGATCATCTTAGCAACACGAGAACAAAAAGAAATTCTTTATTTGACAGTAGTGTCAAATCTCTTGGCTTAGTGACCGCTTAGCTCACCAAATCAGTAGACTTCGGTGGATATGTATGGACCAAGACATACAGTGTTATCATTTGAAGGCTAATTTGTTCGGTTCACGATGTATTATGTAAAACACACATCGAGAGAAACTGTGATGACAGACTCAAGTTCTATTTATGAAAGCAACAGGTGTTACCACTTAGTTATCAGTTAACAAACAATTCTGTGCTAGACCAGTGTACTTAAGCAACTCTTTCTTCAAACGTTAACAGGCTGACGTTTTGCCCTGACTATCCATAGATTATTTGTAAATATTCACTGATAACCTAATGCTTAATCGCCAAGTCTAACTGTACTGCTTAAATGGTTAAAATGGGTCTGATTTATAATTCTGTTTTAGTCATATAAGTGGACTTTTTGTCCACCCTTCGTTAAATCAGCATCTCGTTTTGACTAGTACTTGTATAATATAAACAGTATGGTATAACAGGTACTTATGTGTGTTTAGATAACTGCTTAACTTAGATATGGAAAACGTATCATTTGAAGCTAAGTGTTAAAAATGTTATTGTGATAATGAAATCATGCAGATAACATTTAAAAAGTGCAAGGGATAAATCAAACACTGATTTCTTTACCAGTACAATCACTTATACATATTAAATAGCGGTCGATGGAATCCATGACGTGGCTAGGCTATTCATATACACTAAGATTACTGTGTCCCAATTGCAGTTCACTAATAATATCATGTATTTCGGTAGTATAGCAACACATCTGATACTGCCAACCCAAAGAAGTTTAAACTATTGTCATGTTGCCCAAACTTAGATAAGCAAAGCAGAACTCACAACTTAGCAGTTAAATAACATGTACTGGAACCTATAGACGCAATTTCTAGCTTACATAGAACGTGTTACTTAAAGGACTAAAAATTAACACACTCACCGAGATCAACTAGACCAAAAAGTTTATCCTTTTTACGTTTCTTTTTACCAGTATCAGGTTGACTTGTTGTAGTAGTAGATTGTGGACGATCTGGTCTAGAAGGCACTTCTTTAGACGGTAGTGATGGGGGTGGCGGTGGACGCTTCGGTGTGCTTCCAGAAGGAGGAGAAGGTGTAGAAGAAGAAGGAGGTGGTGGTCTAGAAGGCGGAGTTAAATTATGCTCATCATTGATTTTCATTAAACTTTCAGTTGATGCACATGTGATAATAATTGAAGGTGTAGTTAAGTAATTGTCTGTCTTGTTGACATCAGAACTGTCCCATTTTGATGCAGATGCAGCTAACTCAACAAAAGTGAATGGATCTTGACTTGGATCAACATCTACTACATACTCATCAGTAGTTTCTTGTTCCTGTAATTCTTCGTCTTTATAGGCTTGTGCATTTTGTTCATTGTCAACAGTTATAACAGTATTTTCTTGAGTGCCATCATAAGAAGACTGATAATATCCATCATCGTTTTGACTGTATACATATTGTTGATTATCAATTTCATCTTGATAAGCATGATCTGTACCCCATTGCATATTCTCATCATCCTCTGAATGCTGTACAGATGTCAGTGATTTATCTAATGAACTTTGAATACTTTTGGTACTGTCACTATCTTGCCCTTCTGTATCATGTTCTGTTTCACTATCATCTGGTGATAGCTGTTTTGGCGTTTCAGTAGTAAATTCAAGTTCATCATCACTATGTTCAATTACAGGATAGTCTACTTCATATTCAACTGCTAATTTTGTTACACTCTTGTCGTCATAGAAATCATCATACTTTACATTTTCAGATTCAGCCATTTCTTCATCCTCTGTGTCGTAATGTAAGTCTACACTGTCTTGGGCATTAAATTCTAAAGACGTTTGTTCCACAGCATTATTATTATCATCATCATTAGCGACATAGTAATTGTCATTTGACTGAATATTGATATCTTCAATTGACTGGGAGTGAACACCAACAGGTGTAGACGATTCTTCATCACCTGTTGTCATTGCTGTAGCAGTTGGCATTGGTGTTTTCTGATCCACTTGTTTTGTATTTGACAGTCGATTGAACGATTGGTTAAATTTATGGTGGTAGTCACTTTCCATATCCGATACATCTGTAAGTTCAAAACAGTCATCTTGAGCTAAAGGTGCTGGAGACTTACACTGTTCTGGTTGTAACTGCTGCACTTCAGACTTTGAATTTTCCGCACCAACTGCTTTATAGCTGTCAGCAGTACTAGTGGGCGTGGTGATAGTAGTCCCAACACCATTATTCTGTATATCAATGGGTGGGACAGATATCGCTCTACTTGACTGTTGTCGAGATTTTCGTCTGGGACTTCTAGTTCTCCTTAAACTAGCAAGTACTTGAGCTCTGATAGACGAAGACGATTTTGGATCTTGTTCACTTGATGAAGTCTTCTTTGAACGCTTTAGACGGGCTTTGACTACAGGACTTTGAAATTCACCATCATCTTCGTCTTCATTATAACTTAAAGATGCTTGGTCAGCTGATTCACTGCGTGCTTTAGTCTTAGTTTTAGAACTTCGACGACTTATAAATGCAATTGGATTAAATCGAAAACTCATAATTCAAATGGTACTCAGAATGTTTAAGGACAAAAACTAATGGATTGTTTGTCATTCGATTCATCTGATAAAAGTGTTTTCATGTTTTATTTGAAAAGTGAAGCATAAAATTATGCACGTGGAGAAAGGCAATAATTTTGCGTATCATCTATCAATGTTACTGTGGTTGATTCCTATTTTACACATGCTAGGAAAGATGGAAATTATCCCCTTACCAGCTTATGTGTGTGTGTGTTCACCTCACTAATAATAATAATCATGCCAACGATGAGAATGGCTTTAGGTGGTATTCAAACTTATCAGCTGATTGAAGATAGACAGACAGGAATTCTCATCTCTATTTTTTTCTTAACTAGGCAGAATGTATGTATGATATAGGCTAGGATGGAAGACGGACAGATGTGAGCATCAGTCTAGAATTTGGGAAGCCAGAGATAACTGAAATGTAAGCTCCACCCACGCACTACTACTAAAGCAAAGCTAAGGTCACATAAGTGTGGAATTTTCGCTACTGAATTTATAGTAGTAAAGCTTCTAATAGCAACTAGTAAGTAGTCAAAACAGTTATACATTTGGAAAGTATTTATCAAAAGCTTTGACAGTTTGACTTGATATTTGTCTGGTGGGGCACTGAGCTAGTTATCGAAGGATATCCACTTCCGGTAGTGTGACAACTCAGGTTTTTCCCTTCGCCTTTCAGTCTACCGATAAGGAATAGGTCTGGAGAGGTAGACTAAAAGGCTAAGGAAAACCATGAGCCAGAGCTATTCCAGATAGTCTGACCATTAATCAGTTTATTCGTTCAAAGCCTACTTAAGATGCCTTTGTACTAAACTGAATCAACAAAACAAATTATCACACTACCGTTCTCTTAGATATATCTTACTAGTAAGTATTTGCAGGTAGAGATGTGAATGTGGTTTCCGCCCAACAAGGAACCTCTAGGACGAACGAAATCATCAGAACATGAAATGCATTGCATACAAAGAGAAAAATTACTTTCTTCATTACTTAGCACTCTGTATTCCGAGATAGTTTGACAGTTTAAGTCATCAGGTTTAAAGATGTATTAAAATGAAGTATCTATTAGTATTTAGATGCATCTGATAATAAATAACTTTGAGAAGAAGTATTCTTGACTATTTTCCTTCTTCTTCTTCTTCTTCTTCAAGTTCCAAGATCAACTCAAATATTCCCTTCTACTTCAATAAACCATTCAGTAAGGTCGTTTAATATAAAAAGATATAATCATTTCTGGGATCTCTTCAGCTTACCATTCCTAATGTCAGTCAGTGTACCCTAGGTTCGAGTCCCACTCCACTTGGTTCAGCCTGAGAAACTGAATAGTATCATCAGCCTTCACATCATAATATGTATGGCTCATATGGTGACACATGAAGAATCTGTCTCGGGCTAATGAGGTCTACTATCATAAGGACATTCTTTACAATCGACATTAGTAGTTATAATATAATATGCAGTCAGTGAAACAGTTTAGACAATTTATCCTTTATTTAAGAGAAGGATAGATTTTTCGAATAGCATAATATTTCTTACCACATTTTTATTACATCAGATCTAAAATAAAGTCAGCACTCAGGTCTATTATATTTCCTCTGAAACCGTAAATCACTAATTTTAAGATGCCTTTTAGTTTTTGCATATCATTTCTAAAGTAATTATTGTGTAAGTAGGGTAATAAACCTTTTTTATCAGGTTGTAGAATGACTGTAAGCACTGTGAGTGATTCTTTCAGTATTAATGTAATTCACAAAGAATTTTCTGCAAAAAAAGCATCAGTCACTCATCAGTTTTACTTCGTTATAAGTAATTTCTGAATGCATGTACACATATGGGTATAATTAGTAAAGTTGACCAGACACCAATGTCTCATAACGATTATAAGCTACAATCTCACGAGGATTGGTTCTGTGGTTTGTCAAGTGAATTATACGATGAAATTATATAGCGCTTTAGTTAGATCTAAATGAGAAAATCGTTATCTTTTGTAACAACAGTTTTGAGAATTATTTAATGAACAAAAGTTTTAGTCGAAATAACTATTTCTGTTTGTTAGTAATGTATGTTCATCCTTTTAGATGAGTGCACTTTCTCTGTTCTCATCTGTGATAAGATTTAGACATCAATAAGTTAAAAATTAATCAGGTATTATAACCAGAAATTAATTAGTGAGTTATTGTGTCTGTCTGTTTTTGAATTTCATCTACTAAACACTTAATTTAATTGAATTATCTTCATTTCTTGATTGTTAAGTAAACTGTGAAAGAATAATCTAGAGAATTCTATATACTCGAATGGAAATCGATATATTGGGCATCCGAGAGTCACGTGGAGAAGGTCATATGAAGGAGAATGAAAGTTTGTGAACAATTGTGCAGCGGTATCAAAGTTATGGCAGAGAACTGAAGGAAATGGATATGTTCTGTTGGAATCCTATGTTGCAGGTAGAACGTAGGGGATAAATAATAATAATAAGGGATGTATTTCAGACAATAGCTTCTGGTTAATTGGAGACCGGTTACTTTAAAATGAGACAGTAACAGTTATTCAATAACTTATTACTGTTGACTATAGAGGATGAAGTGCTGAACGTAATTTACAGTAATTCAACGAATCAGAGGCAAAGTTATCTCTTTATATAGATAACTGACTCTAGAAATGCATCTCTCAATACATGAGATGCCCAAATATTTAATATTGGAACTCTTTCAGAAACGACCTAAACTCCGAAGTAACGATTTCATATGAGATAAAACACAATCTAGACGATATCCGTTTATGAGAAGATAAAAAGTGTTCAGTTTTTTAGTAACAGATTAACATAACAAACAATGTTCCAAATATTTGGATTTGAAAAAAGTGACAAATGAACTGAACACTGATATTAACTACACTAACAGAATCAAATCCTAGTTGAAGAGTTCATAATTAAAGTTTCAAAATGTAATCACCAACATTTCTTCTTAGTCATCAGAGATAATCTTGTCTCCACTTTCTTAGTACAGACAGGTAAATGACACATTTTCTGTGTTTTAAATCCAAAAATATCCATATATGTTAAGATGAAGAGTTTACAAGGTTTCGAAAGTACCAAGAAAAGACAAAAGGTTATTTGGTGTATGAATGAACTGAGAAATAAACGATGTTTAATAACCAATAATTGTGTATCTTTGAAAACGGTATCACAGGCATAAATACCTTAAGAAGATATTGAAGATATCAGGGAATTATTATTATTATTTCCTTTTAATTTCAAAAATATATATTACCCAACGGAAAAGACTATTATAATTTCACATGTATTCTTAGTTAAATGTTGCACTGTGAAAATTGTTAAATTCAATTAAGAATAGTTAATGTAGTGATGGAAACAGAAGTTTTATTTAAAATACACTAATTTATAGGTTGATTGGTCTTTGTGTCGGTGATGTTGCTTTTCGATGGAAAATGCACATACACATGATGTATGGCGCTTTTTTTTACGCACATTCATTATGCACAGATTTTTCTTCAAGAAATATTGATTCACCTTGAAAAAAACAAACAAAATCATTCCTTCAGAATGAATTATAATAATAATAATAATAATTTTGACCTTTAAATTCCTGTACACTAACATATTTTTATCTGCATATTTATCAATACGATCAACAGAAGCATACTTTATTCAGTGTTCTTTCTTAAAACGAGAATAATAATAATAACAGTTCTAGACACTTCTAACTGACTTGTTTTTCGTATCATTTTCAGTGGAAGACGTGCTATGCTGTATTGTATTCATTTCATGACATTTTTGCTATCCAAGAATGAAGTTGTAGCCACCTTTCGTGCATAGAACAAGTACATGACTTGCCCCATTCTGATGTAGCCACTTTTGTCAAGTATGCTGATGACCTCTCTGTCTCTATGCCTGTCAACTCTCAGTCAGATTGTTCCAGATTAAATAAATTTCTGTCGGAAATTAGTCAGTGGTCCTTTTCAAACGGTCTTAAACTGAATCCGTCTAAATGTCAGGTAGTAAATTTCACTTTCAAACGAAAACGTGACCTACAACAACTAGCTAGCTCACATGGTCCCACTATCATTGACGGCATAGAGGTTGAAATGACATCTAATGTCAAGTACCTTGGACTGAGTATTTCCTCCGATCTTTCCTGGTCCTCTCACATCTTGCTAGTTACTAAAAAGATGTTTCGCTTAACGTCCTACGTTAGGAAGTTAAGGCAGTCTGGTATAAAGCAGTCTTCGCTTTCTCAGTTTGTCAATTCTTGTATTCTAACCATCCCTCTTTACTGCTCCCCATTAATCTTTCCTGGACTACTTAAGAAGGATTTTGCTTTGCTGAGAAGGGCACTAAAAGCTGTTAGTAGGGCAAGTGGGATTTCGTTAAACCAACTGGTTAACACCATTGTGGATAGACATATAATGTCATGTAAGAAACTAGCGAATACTATATTGTCAGACCCCGAGCATCCTCTCTATACGCAGCTCTCTCCTTGCATTTCATCTGGTAGAACTAGAAGCAACTATAGGAGGCCATATGCCACGACTAACAAGTACAAAACTCCACAATACCTTATCTGGCACAGCTGTTATGTAATGAGAAATCCGTTAGGTATGACACGATCAACTTACTGCGGCACTCTAACAAACAGTTCCCATTAGCTTTTGTTCTCCTTTCTTTGTTACTATTATATTGTTGCTCACATATTCTATTACACACTAATTTTATATTTCATATCCTGTGGTGCATTGTTTAAATATGTGAATGCAATGCTGTTCTTTTTTATTTCTTTTATTTTTCTTTTTGTTGTTGTTGCTTTTTATTTTTAAAATCTGATAAAATTTATGAGGTAATTAGATGCAATATTGTAATGCACGCTGAAAATTCCATACCTGTCCCACAAATACTGCTTGGAATAAAGCTATTATTATTATTATTAATATTTGTTAGACCGTTGGCTGTTTAACTATAACGCTAGTTAAATTTCTAAACCTGTAATTTACAACTATTTTATTTGTAGTTATTACCAACTACAGCATAAATGTTTTCATCAAGCACAAAAAACATAGTTCAATTTCTTCCATTTAGTCCCAGTGACTCAATGGTCTACGAGCTCTCCTTGTAACCAGAAGGTCCTAAGTTCGAATCGCCGTAGGTGCGTACTGATGAAGAGTCCCAAACTAGGACAGAACTTTAAGAAAGTTCAAAACTCGATATCAAACTGTGCCAAGATCGAAAGGTGAACCTTTGTTCGTGTTTTTGTAAGGCATATCCTGAATAAATTTAGATTGTACACTTCTTATTCACATGTATACTAACGACTTAAAATAATGTACTCACAAATAATTTCACTAATTTTTCAGAATCTGTGGTTATTAACCTTTGTATACGTGATCTATAAATTCAATATTTTTTTTCCTTCACGTTCCCCAGTGGAACATAGGGCTTCAAGCTAGTGGCTTGAAGTTTCTGTAGCAGTGTTTATTTTACAGGATGGGGTTGCTGGCCTCATGCCCAACCTTTCCTCTTCACCAGCATTATTTCTGGCTTAGCGAAGTAAAGGAGTGCGTCGGCCGGGGATCGAACCCCGGACCATGTGCACGGTCAGCGAGCGTCCTAACCGCTATGCCACCGACGTGATCTATAAATTCAATATAGGCGTGGTAACTAAAACTATGACTAAAATTGTGCCATTGTTTCTTTCCACTTACTTTTAATTATTTACATTCTTGTTTGTCTCAGGTCAGTAAAGTTATTTACTGTTTATTTATCTATAGAAAATGTACTATCGGCATTACAATCATTTAACATCTCTTGCTTAACCTTTTCCAACTGCTTATAAGGTATATAAATTTTTAATGCTATTATTTACCAGATTGAAGTTCTGGATTCCGTATTGCTTAGTTCATCACAATTAAGTAATAAATGTGTTTATTCTGTTCGTAGATATAAGCAATTAACTGACTTAGCTCACTCATACTGTTACTACTGACACAATTACATTTGCATAATATTTAAGTTATTCTTCTTCTATGGTACAAAGGAAAATTATCACTCTGTGCGATGAACGATATTTTGTATTAGAAGCTAAATACACTTGATAAGTGTGTGTGCGTGTGTGTCGGTCGGTTGTTCACTGGTAGAATGCTAGCCAACCACCCGCATGGTCCGAGTTCGATTCCCGGTCGACGTACTTCTAAACCTCACTTTTGCCGGTATTAAGCCAGGTAAAGAGTGAGGGTTGGGCTGCGGGGGAGCAGGTTAACAACTCTGTAAAAAGAATGTCACTGTTGATGGGAATTCAAAGCTCAGACTTGAAGTCTTATGTTCCACTCGGAAAGCATAAGAACGAAAAAAACACACTTGATAGGTAATAATATTTGCAAAGAAGAGCTACAGATGTTAACATTCAGACAACTAGGCTTAATTTCCCATAAAATCTCAGAAATAGTTATACTAAAGAACAAGCTAGACTTAACGAAAACACCGTAAGTACACATAATAAAGCTTTTACTTTGACACTGGTAACTAGTGTAATGCGTCTAGTCCTCTCTTTAGTGCAGACTGAATTTTGTCAGTCAGGTTGTAATGTGGCCACCATTCTAGGTAGCTCGCCATCACGATCTACATTGTTTGTGATGATATTAGATGGTTGGAGGCAATCAGCAGGAAGCCTTGGACCTAGGTTTCGTACTAGTTGGCACTCAATAGTCAGCAAGGCGTATCTGCAACCTTGAAGGAACTGATGTCCCTTCTGAGATTCGAACCCGCGTCACCCAGTGCTGCAGTCAGAGACGTTACCACTGAGCTATTCGGGCTCGCGATTGACCTTCTGTAGGACTGTAGTGGATATTTTGACTTGACACTAATAACTAGTGTGATGCGTCTAGTCCAGATACGCCTTGCTGACGAGTGCCAACTAGCACGAAACCTAGGTCCAAGGCTTTCTGCCAATTGCCTCCAACCATCTAATATCATCACAAAGCTTTTACTGTTTGCAGTAGTGGACAACGAAAATCATCAAAAAAAAAAGAAGATAAAAGTGAAGATAAAGGTGGACAACTAGCTTTTTAGGTTGATCAAAACGACTTCCAGTAGAAAACTAGGAGTTAGAAAGAGGGTTGGTGCACCAGTGCTCCTTCTTACATCAGTCGCTACTGGAATGTTCAGTTACCATGACGTAATGATTTGAACAGAAAAGCCCAGAAATGCGGGTAGGATAAAAAAACCTGCTACAGAAGATACCTGAAATATACTTCAGTGCCTTAGCCAGTTCCCAAAAGTGAAACAATATATTTCCAATTCAGCGGCTGAACAGTTCTCAAAATAAGATATGCTTACATATAAATCATCAGTGATAACTTAAAGTATACAGAAAAATTAGTACTAGTGTCTCATTAAGTGTTTATATGTCATTTTCAGAAAGTGTAGAGTAACTCCATTAATCATAAAACAATTGAATAAGTGACATTCCATCTTTGTCTGTTCAACAGTTAAACCTATACTCTCTGATTGTGACTCCACTGACACCGTTGATTCACTTGTGTATTCATTGATGAATTCCAAATGGATATAGAAAAAAATCTGTGAATATTTTATTCAAATGCTCCTTAAATGTAAATCAATGTATACCCTTATATGAACTTCGAAGAAGATTCAGCTTGATAGTTCCACGAAAATTAGGCGCCAAGTGTAAAGCAGACATAAATAAGAGGTTAGATTTTCAAAACCCTCATAGATTTACAGGGTATGTCATCACTATGTAACAAGTAGCAATAATTGATATAACTATAGAACTTGGGCACTGTGGTAGAGTATAACTCCATTATGAATAAGATTTTATATTGATAAATCACACAGTGTTGTACAGTAATATTAACTGATGACGTTTCGAGCACAAACTATTGATCATAATCATATCAAGTCACTAACATAACTCTTTCCTTCATTTAAATACATGTGTGGAACTGATTAGATATTTGAATAAAAACCAATATAGGATAATGTACATTCAGCAATAATAATATGAGTGTTATTGATCAATTACAATCAGATGGGTAATAAGACGAGTGCTTTTGTAGTCAAAATAAGTAACTCGTCAGAATGTTGTGATGTACTTGAATACTCATTAAGTAGCAATAATTTTGGTTTCGAAAAAAATTCACAGCCTATACATGGTTAAACAAAGAGTTAGAATCCAAGATGTGACCCCTCCCTACTTAAGAACAGCTTTGATATTTAAATTCAGACCATTCCCCTGGAAGAGTTCAGAATAGCTCGCTGAATAAAATATAGGAACTACTTATTTTAACAATTGTTTGATTTCTACAAATATCAATTTTATTAAGTATACAACGTTGGCTTGTAGAGATAAATAACTTCTCATTATTGCTTATCTTTTAACTTTGTTTGCTATGTTACTAATTTGGGAATGTTCGGAGACGTCCAACTGAAGCCATATATTCATCTTCTTTTGCATGGAACATACACCTCCCAACACCGTCAACATTTCAAAATCAGCAGAAAGAAAAAATTACGTTTAACTTTGTCCGAAAGTCGATTAGCTACTTATAAGTAGTCAGTCTCGAAAATTATAAAATTCACCTGATACCCGATGTGTAGAACTACCAAGTATCAAGGGATTCTCTTTACGTCACATGATTTTTTGCTGTCTTATTTTAAAAATCTGCCTACTTATTTATTAGTTATTAATGACAATATGAAAATAAGCTGTACCGATACGATACAATAAATTCTTACTCTATCGCTTACTCAGTTGTATTGTAATCACAAACATAACCGATTTTCATTACAACAGCCTGTAGCTAAAATGGCACGAATTTAAATAGCTTCCATTCAGAAAAGCTATACACCTAGCAACACACAAACGATGTTTAGAAAGCTCTACCTAAATTATTCACCAAGATATGAGGAATTTTTCCAACGGATGTGATTCCCGTAGGTAGTTACTAGAATGTAACGAAAAAGCAAGGTGCTTGGAGAATATTTCTCTTGTAGGCATATACTAGCTATGCTTAACCCAATTACATATGAATGAAGGGTACTTCGTAAATTAACTCCACATAACGAGGATTCCCTAAACATACAGTAGTGCTCACCCAGATACAGTGGAATGCCTCTGATCTAGTGCACGAACCTACATACATTTACTTAGCTGCACAATCTTTACCTGAATACAGTCTTTGCTCAACATAACATTGCCAACTTGTTACAATACCTAGTACAGCCACCTTCTGAACAGCGAAAGGATCATGTAGAATATAATTTAGTAAGCGAATGCAATAAAAGAGAAAAATCAACGTTTTGTATTTAACTGAATATATTATGACAAGCTTGTAAAAAGTAGTTATATGAAAAAAAGGATGACATTAAAGGAGAGATTATTTTGATTTCTATACAAACAGAAAATCAAAAGTCACAGAAAATTCAAATAAGAATGCTTAGAAAACCTGAATTTAAAAGAAAATGCATGCAAGGGACAACGACTGAATGAGCGCTGTTACAGGCACTTACAAAGTAAGTAGTTTTTAAAAAAGAACAACTTGCTACCTAGCTAGTTAGTTAGCTAGCTTTATGCCACATCTTTGAAAGTATGCGCAGAAAAGTAGGAATTTATGGAAACAAAACATTCGTATAAAAAGGAGTGATAAAACAGCACCTATGAACCCAAAAAGCTTTAAGATTAAAACATGAAACAAAATCACTAGGATATTTTAAAACAATCGACTGATTGATCATAAATTGATTCATCGGTTAAAGTGTTTCTTTGGTTATTTTAAAGTTCATCATGATTAGTTAGGATTTCTCCAAAATTGGTTGCCTGACTGCCAACAAAGAGATCATAACGATTCAGTATTTCATTCTTGCTTAGTTTGCCATCCTAGATAAAAATGGTGCAAAGGAAACGGGATGAGAAAGCAAATTAAGCATTTGTATAAACTGCAATGTAAGGAAGAACAAGTATTCAGAACTTAGCCAAGCTTGTATATGAATACTGACAATTAATATTCATAAGTAACAATTTAGTATTGTTAATAAATATCAACCTATTTACCACTAGAAAAAGGACTAAAAAATCATTTAGCGAGATCGAAATGGCGAAAACATTTAAAAAGCATGGATGACACGTAAAAAATTGGCATGTTACCTATAAAAAATATACCAAAGACAGTAAATACAACAAGCTTAAAGCAAACCTCACCTGGTCAGCGTCTGATTCTGAGAACAAATGAGTTACTTCTGCCTGAACATGATTAAAATCTTCTGGCACAACCCACTTTCCAACTTCTTCTGCGTCTAGTTTACCGTCACCATTAAGATCACGTCTCTTGGAAAACTCCTCTCTTTCAGTTTTAACCCATTCAGGTTCTGCTTCATTTGGAGAATTCGGAGTCCACAAATCCTCTGTAAGATAAAATTTCAACTCAGGTTATGTACTAAACTGAATAAAATGTCCATATACAGAATAAACTAAGCTATTTACATTTTAGTCATCCAGAAATAATTAAAAGATGTACGATTGAATATTTATGCAGTCTAACACCTATAGACTTGTTAATCTGAGTTTTTACTTGGTAAACTTCATGGGTCCTAAAGCAACTTTATAGGTAAGAAAAATAGATTCAAAACTGTCTGGATAAACAGAACAAACTGACCAAATTTCTGGTGCACTATGCTCTTTTTCTCCACGACAAATCTGTTCAGAACGTAATAAATCTCCTTAGAATACGGGAGGAAGAGGTTTGGCATAGTTACAAATTGAAATTTTGCATAATGACCATTTAAAATACCAAAACTTACTTATGTACTCATCAAGATCAACATATCCATCATGATTTTTATCCACCTCTTCCATTGTTTCCTAAATCAGAGAAAATTAAGAATATTGTGGAATAAAGTGCGTAATGGCATAATTCAATTAAAAGTTGTGTGCATCTTCAAAACCAACGGCTTTAGTATTTCATTGCATCCATATAATTGGGTGAATTAATCAGTGATCATTAGAATACACGATATTATCAGGTCACTCATAGTACCATTAGTGAAGTTTAGAATGTTACTCCACTCCTTAAGATTTCAAGAACCAACTTTTGATAACTCTCGGCAACATAGATCAAGATATATTTCGATTAAACCATTCAGGTCAGACAATGCAACAACATCAAAATATTTATTAACCACATATGGTTTTCGAAACCCTAAAAAGTACCTATTCGGAGTGAAGCACAACTGAAGATGATGACTTTACTGACCATGGGAGCTCTGTCTACAAGAAAACTTATAAAGGTAACAAAAATAAAAGAACATTCAAAGGCACTGTCTCAATTACATATATTTTCAACTCGTAAATTACCTTAACAATGACATCTCGCATCTTCGGTTCATGCTCTGGATGAAGGAATGCAAGGAATTCCTCTTTTGACAGTTTTCCATCTCCATCTGTATCAGCAGTTTTCCAACGCCTCTCATCTCTTTGTAAAATTGTCTTTTTTGTTTCGTCGTCTTCATCTATAAATTTGTTTTAAGATTATAAGATTTCTCATCGGGCAGATAAATTTAACATTACACAATGCAAAATAAGGCTATAAGGGAACTTAACATACCTTCATATTCTCCATCTTCACCAACTAACTCATTAACGTGTTTCTCCCATGGCATCTTATCGCCATCTGATAATCCGTATTCTCTCCATGCGCGATCAGTATCTTCAAGAAGCATTCTTTTCGATACTTTGGAGATCCAAGCTGCCATCTCATCAGTAGTTATTTGACCATCTCCATTTTGGTCAATTTTGTTGACAATTTGGCTGAAATGGATCAACAGTAAGAATGCCAAATATTATGAGAAGACCTTAATTATCGATTCTCATATTTTACACAACATGAGCCCAAGGTATGCTCTATGAATTTATCACAGCTAGTTAGTCATGGTCTTTATCAGTAGGATAATTCAGAGTCACAAGCGTTAAGCTGTCGGTACTACGAGACAATAAGTAGCAATTTTGACCTGAGAAAAATGCATGAGTCTTGACCGACAACCGAACTAGCCAGTACATTCACAAATATATCTATGAGACTTAAGTCCTTGCTAAGAAGCAGTATGCAGAAGGTTAGTACGGGTAGTTTCAGGCAAATATCATCACTTTATACGCATATTAAAACGGCTAAAATTCAGCAAGGAATAGAAATATAAACTCTTTTAGAATACTAGAAGATAGAAAAATCATGGAAAGGTCACAAGTTCACATACCCTAATTTTTCTTTACTCTCTTCTGGTGTTAAGTCATCAAATCTCTGAGCCTCGTCTTTCCCCAAAAACGCCTCGTGATCATATACAGAACTATGCTCTCCGTCATGAACATGTGGAGCATCACTGAGGTCCTACAAAGATAAATATACAATGTATTAAATACAATACCTTATCCAGCGTCCGAGGCTTTGACTTTGATTCGACAACTTCGAGTTTGAATGAAATGCATAATGCCGCAACGAATACAATGTACAGTAGCTTCATTTCACACGACATGATAAGAAGAAACTACGACGAATTCTCCAAAATGAAAGTAACGCACACAGACGAATCTGTCATCAATAAGACAACTGAGTATTTATAGTATAACGGGGTGTTAATTGTTCAATATATTCACTTTAACGTTGAAGTTTTTCTGGAAAATAAATTACTTATAAGGGTGTCCCAGATGTCTCAGGGAGGAGTTTGTCTTTAAAAGTTATCATTACAGACCAAGCTTCACCACTTTGTTAAGCCTGTGTATAAAATATTTATTGTTTCCTTTAGTTACTAGAGGAACAAATGGCTTCAGCCGCACGTCTGCATTGCGCCCGGTTCTCTGCCAACATTTTTACCTGGCTCAACGTCTGACTATATGCTTTCATCTCCTTCTCCATGTCACCCTTGTCACTCTCCGCTTCTGGTTTGGGTTCCATCTCAGTGATTGAATGAAAGTACTCCGAGATACGGAGATATGATTTGCAGCACGAAACAGGTCTGGTGGGAGACATTTACTTCATAATTATGGTCAGGCTTGTAGAGGTAGGTTATTCCCCAAAATTATTGGCCACAGAGATTCCGTCCAGCAGCTACTTAGGTCAAACATACCCCTTAATTCCTCCTATCATCCACCCAGTTCTCCTCAACAGTGAAACCTACGTGGTCGGCCTGAATCCAACCCACTTTCACTTAAAAACCCTGACTGGTGTTGGTATCACAATGCTTATATTCAGGAAGCGAAGTACTGTCGAAAACCTTGTAACCTTGGAAATGTCTCGAAGACTACGGGAAACTATCCTGCTGGCACGCGTTAGCGGCAACTGTTCCGGTGGCACTAGTCGCCTACTTTACATTCGTGATGTGTTCAACCAGACCCGGTACTAAGTCGACGCAGGTGCCGAAGTCAGCGTCCTTCCTGCAACAGCGGCAGATCCACCTACCTTCAACTTACAGGCTGCAAATGGAAGACCAATTGCAAACTTTGATAAAAATACATCTATTAAACGTCGGTTTACGCAAACCTATTGTTAATCGCGACAGATAGATAGACTGTATGATAAGCAGCCAATCAATATTATGTGACCTTTTTTGTCGCGATTATTGGCCAATTAATGTAACTCACACCACGTGATGACCTTGAATGTTCTTTTTTGTCTGTCACTCTACTTGTATATACATGTAATTAATTGACTGTTCATTTTGTCCGTACCTTCAATACTGTTCGGTACGTTTTTGTCCGTTTTTTGTAATGACGGTGAATTTGTACATTTTTCTTGGTGTAATTTTATGATTTATTTTATGTTTTAGAAACAGATAAAGTTAAGTCAAGTCATCCTGTTTTTAACTATAGCTAAGCCGAGACTCTGTATCGTCAGTATTGAGGAGGGACTAAATCTGTAGGACAAAAATAATCCTACAAAGTTTCTAACAGTATGGCAGACGAAAGTTATGAAACTATGCCGTCGTTAACTCCACAGTTAGAAAAGAGTAATGAAGCTGATTTCCCTGGAAGCAACGAGAATAAATCACATTATATGGTAGAGCTGGAGCTAGCGAAAATGCGTGTAGTCCAAATAGAGAAAGAAATTGAATTGGAAAGATTACGACAAGCTAGTCGTGAATGTTCTAATCATAATAAGTCACCTTGCAAGCCTTCTGCCTCGCATACAGTCGCTGTATCTTCTAACGATGAGCTCGCCAGAGCCATGTCCAAGTTTCTGGACATGCCTAAAAGAGAGATCATTAAGTTTGACGGTAATCCTGTAAATTATTGGAATTTTATAAAGAATTTTGAAGACTTGGTGGATAATGATGCCATTGGATACCGAAGTAAGCTAAATTACTTGATTCAGTATTGTGAAGGAGAAGCCAAAGATGTAATCAAACACTGTGTTTTGTTAGAGCCAGAGGAAGGTTATCATAAAGCCCTACAACTGTTAGAGGAAGCATTTGGGCAAAGACATGTTGTGGCCCGAACCTTCATAGAGAAACTCCTAGAATTTCCAAACGTTAAAAGCAATGATGCAGCGTTACTAAGGAAGCTATCTCACGAGATGCAAGCCTGCGAATTGACTTTAAAACAGATGAACTATGTTTCAGATTTGAATTCTGGTAAAACTATTGAACAACTAGTCCTAAAACTCCCTGTTCATTCACAGAGAGAATGGATAAAGGTGGCTTGCAACGTCATAAAGAGCGGTCGCGAACCATCATTTAGCGACTTATGCATGTTTGTTAAGGAGCAGTCAGATATGGCTAACACCAGGTATGGGCTGCTAATCAATGGGCATTCCACGGGAAAAAATAGTAAAGAGTCTACTATCCCTATGAAGAAAAACTCCGATTCTAAACACCGAGTGTTTGTTACCAGGCTCTCAGAGAATAATGTCGAAAAACCGAGTAATGATCCTAAGAACGAGTCACGTTTATTTATCCCACCCTGTATATTGTGTTCGGGAAGCCATTTCCTAGACCAGTGTTCAGAGTTTAAAGATAAAGACCTTGATGAACGTCTGGCATTTGTTTCCAAGAGAAAACTATGCAACATATGTTTAAAAGCAAATCACATAGCAAAGAATTGCCGATCTCCAAGGTCCTGTACAGTTAAAGGTTGTGGTTGGAGACACCATACATTGCTTCACAGAAGCAAGGGATCATCCGACGATATAAAAAATGATGTGCATATTAACGCTCAACAGTGTAGTGATATGACTTTGGACAAGACTCCGGCACGTGAAACCGCATTCGCTATAGTGCCCATCTTAGCCAGATATAATGGTAATGTCGTTCAAACCTGTGCGTTTGTGGATAGTGGTTCAGACGCAACATTAGTCACAGAAGATCTGGCAAGAGAACTAGGTTTGGTAGGAGCAACTAAGACAGTCTCCCTTAAGACGCTTGGTTCACAGTCTACTTTGTCTTGCAAACAAGTGCAACTGGAAGTCTCTCCGTTGGATTCGTCACTTCATGTTACTGTTTCCAAAGCATGGACAGTAGAGAAGTTGCCACAGTTACAAAGAGTTGTGCTAACGGCAGATCAGATGGCCTCATGGAGTCACCTAGATGGGATAGTTTTACCAGAGGTTAAGAATAAAGAAATTAAGATGCTTATTGGCTGTAACGTGCCAGAAGCTCACGTAACTATCGATAAAAGGCTTGGAGGAGCTAACGAACCTTGTGCCGTGAAGACTCCCTTGGGTTGGACATTACTGGGACCATATAGGAAGACCCTTGAAGAAACTAGCATGGTCAATCATGTCTTAGTCACAGAGAAAATTGAGGACTGTGGTCGTGATCTTGCTTCAGTCCAAGCCTTACAAAGGAAGCACGAAGCATTAGAAAGGGATTTGACTGCCCCAGATGAAAAGATTGTTCAACTTGGAGATGATGCTAAGGCGCTTGCACAGAAGCATCCTGATTCGCAAAACACTATACAAGGCAAGTATGACGCCTTAATCACTGCATGGGATAAGCTGAAAAGTCAGGCTGTATGTAGGAGAGGTAAACTGGAAGAGTCATTCAAGATGCATCGCTTTTTGGCTGACTGGAGAGACGTGAGTATCTGGATGAATGACATGAAGACGTTAATATAGGCGGATGATTTGGCAAAGGATGTAGCTGGTGCTGAAGCCCAAGTAGAGCTACATAAGGAATACACCGCTGAAATAAATTCTCGAGCTGACAGTTTCGATACATGCATGCAAGAAGGTCAGGCATTACTAAGTGTTGGCCATCCCTGTAGTGGAGACATTGCTGCTAAACTTTCCACCCTTGAAAGAGAGAGAGCCTCCCTGATGCAGTTGTGTGAGGAAAGACGTGAACAGCTAGAACAGTGTATGGGCCTTCAGTATTTTTACCGCGACGCTGAACAGTCAGAATCTTGGATTGGTAAGCAAGAGGCCCTCCTAGAAATAACTGATGTGGGAGACTCACTCGATTCTGTCGAAGCACTTATAAGGAAACATGAAGACTTCGAAAAGTCACTTTTAGCACAAGAAGAAAAGATGCGACAACTTAATGAATTCGCTGCAAAATTAATCGAATCAAACCACTATGCGGCTGCACAGGTTCATGAGATTCAGAAAGGTCTTCAAAATAGACGAAATGCATTAAAGGAGAAAGCTCAGAACCGCCGTCAGCGTCTTCAAGATTCCCACCATTACCAAATGTTCGATAGAGATGCAGATGAAATGCAGTCATGGATATCAGGAAGACTTAAAAATGCACTTGATGAAAGTTACAAAGACTCCACGAATTTGCAAACAAAGGTGCAGAAGCATCAGAGTTTTGAGGTAGAAATACAAGCGAACCAATCCCGCGTTGAAGATATTAAAAAGACAGGTCAGGATTTGTTAAATGCAAACCACTACAACTCGCCAGAAATAAAAGTAAAGATTGAACAGTTGGATGAAACTTGGTCTCATCTCGTAAATGCCATGGGAGACAAGAAGAAAAATTTAGATCAAGCAAGTAGGCAACAACAGTTCGCTCGCAAAGTAGAAGATGTCGAGTTATGGTTGAATGATGTTGAAGCTCATATAGCCTCAGAGGATGTCGTTCGTGATCTAAACGGTGTGATGAACGCACAAAAGCGGCACAACTTGCTTGAATCTGATGTAGCTACTCATCGTGAACGTATAGATGCATTCAAAGTCCAGAATGACACGCTTGCTGCAGAAAGTCATTTCGACGCTCCTATTATCCAAGAAGAACAAAGACAGTTAGCCCAACGTTACCATGACCTGCAAATCCCTTTAAGTCAACGTCGTGAGAAGTCAAGAGATTCGCTTCCCTCGGACACATCTTTGCAGCTTGAATATGGTGACTATAGTGAGCTGATGAAGTTACTAGTCGATTGCTATATAGATTTCAAAGCACATTCGCTTAACCAAATCGAATCAGAAATGTGGCATCAGTATGCTGAAAGCTTCACTACTGGCTCAGTAGCCACTCACAAAGATACCTTCAGGTTATGGGTCAAAGATAAGAACCCTGTTGTTGGGAACTACATTGGTTTTACAGAGTCATACCGTGATCCCTTTGGCGTTCGTGTAAAGTTTGAATCATTTGTCGCTGTCGTAAATAGATCAGTGTCTAAAAAATTCCAACGACTTGTAAATAATGCTGA